TGGAGGCACAGGTCAAATCCGTGTCCAGGGCAGCTGTTTACCAGCTCCATCTGGTACGTAGGCTGAGACCCTATCTGCCTGCGGACTGTCTCGCCAGAGTGGTACATGCTCTGGTTATCTCCCGCTTGGACTACTGCAATGCACTCTACGTGGGGCTACCTTTGAAGGTGACTCGGAAACTACAACTAATCCAGAATGCGGCAGCTAGACTGGTGACTGGGAGCGGCCGCCGAGACCATATAACACCGGTCTTGAAAGACTTGCATTGGCTCCCAGTACGTTTCCGAGCACAATTCAAAGTGTTGGTGCTGACCTTTAAAGCCCTAAACGGCCTCGGTCCAGTATACCTGAAGGAGCGTCTCCACCCCCATCATTCTGCCCGGACGCTGAGGTCCAGCGCCGAGGGCCTTCTGGCGGTTCCCTCATTGCGAGAAGCAAAGCTACAGGGAACCAGGCAGAGGGCCTTCTCGGTAGTGGCGCCCACCCTGTGGAACGCCCTTCCAGCAGATGTCAAAGTGATAAATAACTACCTGACATTCAAGAGACATCTTAAGGCAGCCCTGTTCAGGGAAGTTTTTAACATGTGATATTTTATTGTATTTTTGGTTTTTATGGAAGCCGCCCAGAGTGGCTGGGGAGGCCCAGCCAGATGGGCGGGGTATAAATAATAAATTATTATTATATTATTATTATTATTTGTATGCTTTTTCAATCCATAGGTTTAAGCTTTTATGCAAAGACTGTTTAGGAGACTAGTTTTGTGCAACCAGTGACAGCTATGTACATACACAACAAAGTCTGAAAAGAAACCTTTTGACACTCATCTAATCACACTTCACTTACCATGAACATCAGTAATATTAACATACTTAATTGCAGGCAACGTCTTCGCTTCTAGAGGTATGACTGGCTGTTTACTTTCACTCTTTTTCCATTCACCTTTAGGATTATGATTATCATTAATGAAAGCTTCTGTCATGTCAGCACTGTCCTCAACTGTAAAAAAAGAGCAGAGGTGAAAGAAGCACTGCGTTAGTTTTTGCTGTGATTAATGATGGAAATGAAGACTTAACATCAAATCAGATAACCCTCCAGGATGTTATCCCAGAAGCCAACTGGGGAACAAAGGCGGTCAAATGAGTCAGCATCTGGAGTCTCATCAAAACAAGATATAATTTAGCATCCACATCTAATGGAGGGCGTGCAAAGAGAAGTTTGCTACCCAAACGACCTTTGATAAGGTAACAGACTTTGCTGGAGGGACTAAAATGACACATTACCTTGGCCAATTAAAAACAAAATCATGCTGGCCTTACTCCAGCTCTAGCCTGCATTTATACCAAATGGATCGTTGCCAAACTACACTGTGACGTCTCCAAGCAGCAGCTGGCTCAAGAGCTGTACTTTGGACACTCTTGCTTAAAGTGCTCAAGGAAGTAAATCAAGTAAATTGTCCATTGGAGACTATTTAAAATATTAATTTCCTCCAATAAGTTAGAGACTGAATATTCCACTTGGAGCCATGTTTCAAAGCAATTAGCTACTGGCTAGCTTCACTGAGAAGGCAAGTGTGAATATTTTCCATCAAATGTTGGGGAGCCATTACTCACGGTGGCGCTTTAGGCACAGGTTAGCATAGTCCACTACTGCGGCACAACATTATAGCTGAAACTTTCCAAGGCATGAGGATTTGTGGGACTTTGCGTGGTGCCGGGATGAGCATAGGCCGTTAGCGTTGAAGACCCAGCTGAGGATAAGGCATTGATTACAAAAGAGGAAGCCGCCATGAGACGTGCTAATGAAGGAATGCTGTTGCGATGGAATAAAGCAAATATAACAAAAAAAGCCCTCAAGGCTGACTTAATGGCCATATCTTGGTTAATAAGCCATGGATGTGCCTCAGTTGCAACGTATGGGAGGCTTTTAAAGTATGGGCTTTAGGAGACAGCTAGCAGCTTCTTGCATCATATTCTTGCATCCGCCAGAGTGGGCTATGTCTCTCCATTAACTAGTGTCACCAACAGAGATAAAACAATACTTTCATTATTGTCATGCAACAATGGTGGTGTAACATCCAACTTGTCTGACCTTGGCTAGCACTGGGGCTGTGGAACTCTTTCTACCCTCATTCCATTCCACATGTCTTCAGATATTCTGCTGCATAAGGCGAGGAGGATTAAAACACTGTCCCTCAGCACGGCTGCTCTAATCAAATTTGGAGGTCTCTGCAGCTGCTTTTACATGCCAATGGGTTTTTGTTTTTCCTTTTTTGGAAAGCCAGGCAATCCAGTTATTGAATCAGATTTGTTTCAGCTCTCAGAACAGTAACTCTTCTTATATCTTGGAATGTCATTCCAAGCCAAGTTGGCAAGGCAGTAGAAAATCTTCCATGAAAAAGGAATTTTGCAAGCAATAAACTGTTTTCAATTACTTTCAGTGAAGTTGCTTATTTAGGCTTGGTACAACTGTTTATGTCAAAGAAAGCTTTTAAAAAGCTTGGCTGGTGTGCAAATAAGCAACTACATTTTGGCTAAGGGCAGGATTTTGCTTAGACTTTTTAATTGAATCTTCCTTTCTCCAGTCACACTTAATCGAATTAACCCACACAAAACACAGATGCACTTCAGGCAGCCACAAAATGCCCTGAACTCAAGCAAAGGACTAGAAAGCTGTTTATATCAGGCTAAATTGTAAATTTAAGCAAGGAAAGATTTAATCAACTTTACAATAGATGGTACATTGATTCTAGGATTCCTCAGTTGTAAGCTATTGTTATCCTCACACGCTCTCTCTCTCTCTCTCTCCCCCCCCCCAGTGCTGTTTTCTTTTATAATCAACAAAAGAGTGAAGTTCTTGGCCATTCCCTCTTTAGTTCATTTAATTTGTTTCTTCTCCACACTGAAGGTTAATAGACAAGTAATACACAAACAGAAAAATCAAGAAGGCAGGTGGCTAGATCCTCAGGAGTGTTCATAAATTATTTTATGCATAATGAAGTGAATGATTCATTAAACACCCTCTCTAATACCAGCTCAGGGAATTCTGAGCATCACACGCTTTTCTTGAAGTCAGGGTTAAAACACACACGCACAGCGCTCACCCACTGACATATTTTTGTAAATAAAATGTATCTCTTGTGCGAGGAGGCTACAACAAAAAGAAATAAAGGTTTGGGTGAGCATAACCTCTAAACCAATCAAGTTTATAAAGTCTGAAGAGTGAGGGCACTAGAAGAAAATCAAAATTTTAAGTATGGCCGAATTGTCAGAGATATGTTATGGTTTAACAAACAAAAATACAGAGGTGCAATATCAAAAAAGTCATCATAAATCAGTCGACCTGAGTTGAAAAATAAGCTGCTAAATGATGAAAACTAAAACAGAATTGGTCTAGTATATAAGCGACATTTCACATTGATGAGGCCTGTTGTGATGAACTGGAATCCTGTTAGGTAACAGGATTTCAAAGATGGACTTTTCCATCTTTGAGTTTGAAGTCAGTTCGTTCCTCCATCCCAGATCTCTGAATGCAGCGGCGCAAGAAACAGCTCATTCTGTTGTGTTTAAACAGTCATCCTAGCAGCTACCAAGAAATATAGAATATGTGGATGGGAATAATCCTCCTTCTGTATTAACCAATTTAAAATATGGTTTCAATTAGTTAATTTTTTTTTACTATTTTTGTGATTGTACTTTTTATACTTAAGTTTTTAATAAAACTCCCCCTGCACTTCCAGACCTAATGCAACACTTGCAGCATCTCTGGTTACCTATGCTCATTCTCAGATATTCTGAACTAAGCATGCATGAGCTGCTAGACTAAAAAAAAAAACAAAAAACGGAATCTGGCCCCTTCAAGCATCATGCCTCAAATGACAAAAACCCTTGAGGAGGGACTGATGCTTGATCCACCACTTGAAGGGGCTGGTTCTATGTATAGTGGTGAGTCAGGAAGGCTCTCAGAAGCCATGTGAAGAACTTCTAGTGGCCAGGAAACCAAGCATCAGGGCTCAGTCTTAATCCTGTTTACTTTCTAAGCAAAGCTGATTATACTGTGCAAAAAAGAAGACGGCATGTTCCAGATGTTGCGTGGGTTACTCAGCTTGAAGCATCCAGCCTACTCTGATGTGGAATTTGGGGTTTGTGTGTGTGTGTGTGTGTGTAGTATTTTTATTTCTACACCTTTTCACATGCAACAGTTTTTGTAGACAAGCACCAGAATGTGTGCAGGATGGGATACCCATATTGCTTAAACATACACACACACACACACACACACACACACACACACACGAAATGATATAAAAATAAATACAAACAAAGAATACTCACATTTGCAGCTTCTACCATCACCCTGCATCCCATTGGGGCAGTTGCCACATGTGTAAGATCCGACTGTGTTTGTGCAAGAGACACCAGGAAAACAAAGTTCCTCTTCACATTCATTTGTATCCTCCTGACAAGTAAGCCCTGTGCCAGGAAAAACACAGTGGAGGTTAATAAACAGAAAAGCCTCTGATTAATCCTAAGCTTAAACTTTCATGCATACTAGGCAGGTGTCTCAGCTGTAAACTCATTGAAGAATATGTCATTCATTTGCCACCCAAACTCCCCACTGGTTCATTTCATCCTGCTGCTGCTTCACTGTTCATTACTGTCAGCTTATTGCTATCAAAAATGTGGAACCTTGAGAGTTATGGTGAAAAGCATTAGCTACCCAAAGGAAATGAATAACCACCTTTTCTCAAATTGCGGCTCATGCTTTTCTTGTTTTCCTTTTTCCCCGGCAATGTTATCATATAATTTGAAATCTAGGGTCACTATTTGGGCCTTTGGGTTTGCTAACCAAAGCTGATTATACTGTGCAAAAAAAGTTTTTTTTTGCTGACCTGCTGGAAGAAAAAACAATCTGAGCTGTCTCCATGATTTGGATAGAAATTTGATACAAAGAAACCAGCAGGTGAAACTCTGTGTGTGTGTGTGTGTGTGTGTGTGTGTGTGTGTGTGTGAGAGAGAGAGAGAGAGAGAGAGAGAGAGAGGAGAGAGGAGAGAGAGAGAGAGAGAGAGAGAGAGAGAGAGAGAGAGAGAGATGGACCTAAATAGGATAATCAATGAATTCCTGCAGTTCAATCTGCTATTAAGAAATGGGTTGCAGAGAGTGGTTGGAAATCTGATCATGTGTTTTGGAAGGTCAGCACAGAATGTTAACCAGGTGCTTTTCTTTAATCAACATGGGGTTCATTAAGTGACAATGATAATCTTAGCTACACAAAATATTTGAAGCTTTGTTTAGCTCTTCTGCTATAGTAGATAAAGTAAACTTTACCAGTTGGTTAAGGGCAGGTTGTTTATTCCCATATACGTAAATTACATGATGCTTTAAATTACTAATTACCCCTCTCCTACAGATATTCTTTAGAACCCAATTTTTTCAGATATCTTTGGTTTCGGGGATCTTCTGCTTGTAAGTTTCTGTAAGATCAATAGTTTTATATATGAATGGCTTTTGCCATATCTTTGTTATCAAATTAATCATTCTGATTGTATGATTAATCTCTTGGTTCAGGAACCCAAAAACCATACAAAAATTAGGAAATAAACGTTATGGTTTCTGCTGATATGGGTTTTCCAGAGGGAGAAAAAGCAATGGTGATGTCAGGATCACTTTCTTGAAAACGGGAAGATGATGATGGACAGGTCATGTGGTGCTAGGAAAAGCATAAAAGAGCACAGGCCTTGTGGTACTGATAATGAATGAGTGGATGAGTGTTCTACTGATTACATTAGGACACATGCAGGGAGGTTGGGCATTTGCATGTGTCAGAATTCTTCAGCCCATGACACTTAGGGGTTAGGACACACTGTTTTCATTTTGATAGATGGTAGGGGTTAGCCTGGTCAATCCAGCACCCTTGTTTCTGGTTGATAGCCCTTGCCATCTTAGCAACCCAAGGTAGACAACATGGTAGGTGAGAGGCAAAATGTAAATGTGGAAACAAAATGGAGGCAATCTGAGCGGGAAAATATTTGTGTGTGCCAGTGTAGTGCAGTCACAATGGAAAGACAATTTGATGCATAGCATCCACAGTCCTGATGGAAGCATTCCTTGTTTCTCTGTATGTTGGAGAGCAATGTGACAAGCCTGGGACTGAATCTGCATCCAAATGCAGGTGTTGTCTATCCAGGTCCACATCTCTCCAAAGGTCCATTCTAATGTGCACCCTCAACAGCCTTTTGGAGCATCTAATCACACATGACTAGAGCTCTCCCAACTTGGCAAAAGGGGCATTTCTCTCCCCAACTGTGAAAATCTTCACACGCTTTTACACAAGAACACTGCAAAGGGAAGGCAGGAAAGGGTGTGCTTTCCCTTGTGAATTATGCCCCCCACCTTATCTTTTAACTTGTCGATATCTGTGCTCCTCACTGTGCTCTTTCTGTACAGAAAATGGTGGCAATGAGCATCAGCACCAAACCCTTTAAATATCTGTCAATGCGTTTAGATGTCCCAGTGGGAAGGTATCAAATGAAGTTTAAAATTACTGCAAATGAACTCTGGGCCCACATTCTACACAGGCATTCCCATGGCTCTTGCTCATTTTTAAAAATCTTTAGCCCTCTACCTGTTCCCCTGGCATGCATCCAAAATTAATGTTGTCTTATCAATGACAGCAGAGAGGAATTAAGATTGCCCTTGTATATCTGTATGCATAACAATGCTTCCTGCACTCTCCACGAGTTGCTTCTCCAGAGATGATACTTAAGGTGCTCTCTAAAGAGTTCGTGTCTTTGTTCCTACTATCTGTTTGCTATCATTTGTAAAGAAGTGACGCTGAAACAGTCTTGTCACTTGAGCAGTACAGCATTGCCTTCTCATTAGATTATTGATGGCTTTCTGGGGAATTGAGACATAAACACAACATCAAGGATAAGCCTTTTATTGCTGTAATGGAACCTGCCCTGAAGTGAAATCATCTACCTTCCCAGCTGGCTTCCTGCTGCACTTGCATATAATTTTTCACCTGCCATTAAAACAGGTGAGAGATATTCCTATTTCACTCAATCATTTGATTATTTGGTTTCCCCTCCCCAAGTCTACTTGCTACAGGAAAATAATGGCAAAAACAGTGAATATTTTTATTTACATGAACCTGAAGGAAAAGGGGGGAATTGAAGCAGATCACTTTTCCTAGGATTATTAATAAATGGAAGGAAGGGGCCCCATTGTTCACAGTGTATTTGCTACTGTCAGGACTAACTTAAAGATTACTATGTTCCCCTGTTATCTTACAATCTAAAGAACTGAGATTCCCCCCCCTTTTGTTTGGTGGTTAGCATCATCTGTTGCACACCTTCTTTTTTATTAAATCATTGTACATATTGGCCTTAAATCCTTTTGCAGAGAAATTCATTCTCTCCAGAAATTAACATGGGATCATATTCTTAGAAAGCCTTGATTACTTAAATCATGGCTTCACTGGAAATGTGACTATTTTGCTTGCTGGAGATGTCCGCTTGGAAATGGAGATCTGTTTAAGCTCCAAGATAAGGGATTGAATTTAATATATTAGTGGTAATGAATAGGCTCCTGACTTATAGACTGAATAGACTATCAAATAAATAATTAAAGCCCCACCCCCACCCCATGGGAAGAGAAACTGACATTGTGGTAATTCAGAGTGGCTACTCAGGGAGCAAATAAGACTGTTTATAATCTCCCAGCCAGGAACAAGAGGAAGCAACTAAATGGGCTGAACTAGCAACCAAGATGCTTTCAATTAGCATTTGCTGAAAGCAACTTTGATGAATTTGATTGACTTGAAGAAAGATATTAGAAAGACAACCAGAAAAACGATATTGCTAGGTAATAAATGGGGTATATTTGCTGCTGTGTGGAATTTGTATTTGTATTTTGTGCTAATAGGAGAAAAGCAATGTCTCAGATGTACTAAAGGGCCTTAGTGTGGAAATACTCCAAAGTTCCTCAACCTGTGTTTTGATTATCCTGAGGTGTCAGTTCAGGCACAAGTGTCAGATGTCAGAATCATTCGTGTTACCTAATCTGCAACAATTAAGCAACAATTAAGCAACAAGGTACAGTAATGGGGAACAGTGGTCAGATGCCTGTGTTCCAGAGTTAGTAAGTAGAAAATAACTGATTCTGTCTCTTTGCTTCAAAAGAGTGGGAGAGAAATTTGGTTTGCTTCACAATTTAATGCAAAACTATCTAAGTTTTACTTCCCAAAACAATATATGGACCAAAATCCATTTGCACCTCTCCAAATTTTACCTGGCAGTTTACCAACCAAAGGAATGCTGATGTATTTTTGTGAAGATTTTTAAAGAAAAAAATCACAATGTAGTGAACTAAACTTAAAACTGGGGAAATGAGCGATTGAAATTGACAGATTAGTCCATCCTTAGTTTCTATGCATTAACCCTGCCATGTGGGAAAGATGATAGTCAGATACCACTTCAGTGTGCCAGACACTACTTCCACATACCAGGAGTAGTATATAGACTGCCTCTAAATTTGACCAGAAAACAGTAAGGAGACTCCAGAAAAAAATGCAAAGCTCTGCTTACCTTTCCAACCTGCTGGACATTTACAAATGTAACTATCTTTTCCATTGATACAGGAGCCGATCCCACATGGGTTTGATTGGCAGTCATTACGGCTGTTCTGGCAAAGTTCCTGTTCAAATCCACTGGGACATATGCAGAGATATTCACCAACACCCGGAGGGAAGTTGATGTTGGTGATACATGTTCCACCATTTAAGCAGCCACATGGTTTCACTGCAATCTAAAAGAGGAAAGCACTGGGATGATGTTTCTTCTTTCTCTTGCACTGCATTGCAATGGAGCATCTAACTACCTTTTCTACAAAGGAAGGGTTCAGTATCCAGCCTCCTAAAACTTTCTTTTAGTAAAACAGCTATTTCAAGATCTAGTCATTTAGAATTCTATGTAACCATGGTTTGTAGCTCCAAATATGAAATTATAAATACAAAGCAATATTGTCTGAAATGTAGCTGAGACATACCGAGGGCCAAATTATTGTTATTTGTCATCTTATACCACAAGAGATCTCAAAATGGCTTGCATCAAAAAATGCAATACAGATACAAAATTACATAAAAATTAAGCACCAGAGAGAGTTTCAAAAAGTAATCCTACAATAAACCGCAGCAAAACACACAACATCCGCATGATCAGCATTAAAATACCAACCAGCAGCAAATCACACCAAGCAACAGAAAGAATCAGATATGGTCAGTACTTGGTGAACTTTGCTGGGGAGAGCATCCCACTACTGAAAAGGACCTCTCTATTGTTGCCACTCTTGTTGCAGGTCTACTAGAAGCAGCACTTATGGGGCGCTTAATGCAACTTGAGAAATATGCAATAGCCACTGAAAACTGAAGGTATGCATCGCCTCCCAGCACCTTTGTAATAGCCGGCAGAACTTGCTCATCTCTTAATGCCACAACATCCTGCATTTCCCCACTGCTGCGCCACATCCTTGGCTGCTGGCATGGACTAAGTAAAGATGAACTATCAGGACACAGTTAGCATTGCAGAGAGGAAGGGGAAAGTTAGCCACACACTTGCCATTTTCAGTGGCAGCTGTGTATTTGGCATAACATCTAATTTGGCCTTATATAGACTATGAATCTAATCCTTGACTTACCGTATTTTTTGCTCTATAAGACTCACTTTTTCCCTCCTAAAAGGTAAGGGGAAATGTGTGTGCGTCTTATGGAGCGAATGCAGACTGCACAGCTATCACAGAAGCCAGAACAGCAAGAGGGATTGCTGCTTTCACTGCGCAGCGATCCCTCTTGCTGTTCTGGCTTCTGAGATTCAGAATATTTTTTTTCTTGTTTTCCTCCTCCAAAAACTAGGTGCGTCTTGTGGTCTGGTGTGTCTTTCTTTTTCATGCATTTCCAAGTAAGTCTGGGTATGGTACGATGTAAATTCTGTACCAAGTGTTGTGGGTTAATATTTATCCTGCACTTATCTCGTTCCAGGCTCCTTAACAATTACCCATTGTGAGCGAGACACTTCTGGTTGTAAGTTTCCTCCTCCTATGCATTTTCCTCATTAGCCCACCCTATTGAAGGATTAATGGAACACCTTGCAATAAAGACAAAGCAGAAGAGAAGCACTGCCAGGGAGCTGAGGCTCTGGAGTAACGACATAAGAGCATGGGAACCTCTAAAAATATCATTGCAAATGAATTATGTTCTCCCCTTTATGGCGAAAACCTGGTCTTTTATGTTGTTATGTGCTTTTCTTCAAAGATCCAAATGCACACAGTGAATTTTAAAGCAGATTAATGAACCATTAAGAGGCTCGGCAAAAGTGTTCTTTCAGACAGCAATCGATAGTACCCTCTCTTGTTCGTTGTATATATGGGTTTTACGTTCTCCGAGTTATTTATTAGATTAATTGATCATTACTGTCATGTTGGATAATATGCACTTACTTGAAAATAGCTGAAGTCTTAGCTTTTTAAAGACAGTAACAAATTATTAGCTATAATGGAAGCAACGGATAGTGTGATAAACCAGTTTTCTGAAGGGTTCCCTATTCCTACCTGAACCGAGTGCCTGCTTTGTGCATTGCATTCATCAGACACGGTGAATTCAAAGCTCTCTGATTTGGCAGAGCTGACTTTCCAAATGAGAAGGCCAGCAGGAGAGAGGGTGGCTTCTGGAGGTCCGCCTTCTAAGATGAACAGCACGGCTGATCCCTCGGGATCCACTGCTAGCAGTTGGTACACAAAATTCTCTCCTGCAAACGTCAGAAGCTGGCTGGCTGGGGCTTGGAACACAGGCGGCTGGTTATCTAAGCAAAATAGCAAGATGCAATAATGTACGGAATGTTCTAATTCCCTAAGACAGCGGTTTTCAAACTACATCTACCACCTGGACCACCAGAAAATTGCTGGCAAAAATACATCACCGGTCGCAGTCTTGTTGGTTGTTGGTACATTCACATCATACATTTAAAGCGCATGGCTTCCACCAAAGAATCCTGGGAACTGTAGTTTGTCAAGGGTGTCAGGAATAGTAGCTCTGTGAGGGGGACTCAGTTCCCATGATTCTTTGGGGAAAGCCATGACTGTTAAAGTAGTAGGAGCAGGAGCATCATTGGTCATCCCAAGGTTAGTGAGGCTCATCTGACAGTGGCCTGAAACCAAGCCTTTAGTGTTCTTGGCCCAGTCCTGGGAAAGGCTCTTCCAAGAAAGATTCAGCAGGTGCCTTTTTTCACCTTTTGAACATCTGCTGAAAACTTTTTTATGCTGCTAAGCTTATGCAGGCAATGCAATAAAAAATATATTTCAGTAATAGGTAGTTGATGAGGCTTTTATTGTATTTGATTGTATGGCTGTTGTAAAATGCTTGGGTTTTTTTAAATGAAGAGCAGATTAAAATATTTTCATAAATAAATGCACTTTTAATGTATGGTGTGGATGTCTCTCTGCCATGTTTCTCCCTCTTTCTGGGCAGCAAGGGCACACATTTTATCGTTTTAGTGGCATACACTTAACATTTGAGGTTGATTGTGGTGGCTACAGTTAATGTTACACAGCAGTTGACAAAGACGATAAAATCCCTTTAGAACATTTTAGTCAAAAACAGTTACCAGCAAGTTTGAGAAACTTGAGCAATGCATTCAGGAAAGCTTTTGTTTATTTTACATTAAACTTTATACTGTGCATTCCAACTGGAAACAGTCATCATGTCTCACAGTCAATAAGAACCTAGATACAATAAAAAATACTCTCAATAAAAACATCAAAGTAATATAACCATGTTCTTAAAATAGATTAAGTATCATAAAATGGATTAAGGAATGCCTTGACCTAACTCTTAAATACATGAAGCAATGTGTAGTGCTATCCTTCAATGGATGTATATCGTCAGTGGCGGACTTGAGGACAGTGAATAAACTCTGTCTGGATAAGCCAGAGTTAACAATTGCAGGGGACTCAGTAGTGAGGCTGACTTGGCATATCTGTTTTGGGTGAAGTCACCCCACTGTAAGGACCACGGTGTGATTCAGGGATACTGTTGGACCCAGCATTACTGCCATGTGGTAGCTATGGCTCAAAGTATCATTTACTGGTTTTCCTTGCTGATGGAAAATAAGTCACCTGATCACTGTAGTTCATCTTTCCAGATTAGACTATTCTGTCTTCAAAGGATGTGAAAATTTATTCATTCATAATTTTATTTGCATGCTGCTTTCACACACAGAGATACCATTCTCAAAGCAGCTTGCAACAAAGAAAACAGGAATGCGTTTCAAAATCAAGCGGTACGAAACAATTTCATAATATAATAAAACAACATCACAATGGCAAATCTAACATACCAAAAAAGCTAGTATAAATATAAAAAGATTTCATAAAAAATACTGAACAGCAAAAATAACAAAGAAGCTTGACAGTTTCACCTTGGTCCTAGAAAAACATTCCCCATGATGTTGCTCAGAAATATCTGAGCACACACCTGGAACTTCTGCATAATCATAAGGGTCCAAAATGTACATATTCCTATTAATGAGAATCTGCCTTATCCAAAGAAAGTACAGTGGTACCTTGATTGTTGAACTTAATCCATTCTGGGAGTTTCTTTGACTCCCAAAACCATTTGAAAACCAAGGCTAACAGATTGAGGTTGAATCCTGACAAGACAGAAGTACTGTTTTTGGGGGACAGGAGGCGGGCAGGTGTGGAGGATTCCCTGGTCCTGAATGGGGTAACTGTGCCCCTGAAGGACCAGGTGCGCAGCCTGGGAGTCATTTTGGACTCACAGCTGTCCATGGAGGCACAGGTCAAATCTGTGTCCAGGGCAGCTGTTTACCAGCTCCATCTGGTACGTAGGCTGAGACCCTATCTGCCTGCGGACTGTCTCGGCAGAGTGGTGCATGCTCTGGTTATCTCCCGCTTGGACTACTGCAATGCACTTTACGTGGGGCTACCTTTGAAGGTGACTCGGAAACTACAACTAATCCAGAATGCGGCAGCTAGACTGGTGACTGGGGGCGGCCGCCGAGACCATATAACACCGGTCTTGAAAGACCTACATTGGCTCCCAGTACGTTTCCGAGCACAATTCAAAGTGTTGGTGCTGACCTTTAAAGCCCTAAATGGCCTTGGTCCAGTATACCTGAAGGAGCGTCTCCACCCCCATCATTCTGCCCGGACACTGAGGTCCAGCTCTGAGGGCCTTCTGGTGGTTCCCTCATTGCGAGAATCAAAGCTACAGGGAACCAGGCAGAGGGTCTTCTCGGTAGTGGCGCCCGCCCTGTGGAACGCCCTCCCATCAGATGTCAAAGCGATAAATAACTACCTGACATTCAGAAGACATCTTAAGGCAGCCCTGTTCAGGGAAGTTTTTAATGTGTGATATTTTACTGTATTTTTGGTTTCTATGGAAGCCGCCCAGAGTGGCTGGGGAGGCCCAGCCAGATGGGCGGGGTATAAATAATAAATTATTATTATTATTATTATAAGGCGTGGCTTCTGATTGGCTGCAGGAACTTCCTGCACTCAATCAGAAGCCACATTGGATGTTCGGCTTCCAAAAAGCATTTGCAAACTGGAACACTCACTTCCGGATTTGCGGCATTCGGGAGCTGATTTGTTTGGGAGCCAAGCCATTCGAGAACCAAGGTACCACTGTAGATTACATCCTACAGAAACTTGGCCAATCTGGGGTCATCCAGATATTCTGAAATACCTATCAGCCACAGCCTAGACAGCACAGATGTGAATTGTCATCCAGAACATCAGGATGACACCAGCTTAATAAATGCTGGCCTAGAAAAATGTCAGAAATGTACACAATATACAGGTCCAGAGAAAGAATATCCCTCTCTCTAAAACACCGGATGCGTTTTGCAACAAAACCTGAATACCATAGAAACATTTTATGCATTTTAGGCTTACTTTCATTGATAGACCAGGTGAATTTGGAAATATCTGGTTCACAGAGAAGACAAGGACTCGTAAGGCTCGAATCACCTTTTGCATAACATAATCTATCTATATTGCAAGCGTTTTCCTGCAAGTAAGGGGAAGAAAGATAAATTAGCAGCAAGTAATTGCTTGAAATATTTTGCTGTAGGAATAATGAAATGACAGCAATTTAAATGCTAGCACTCTGTTGCCTTGGGTAAGAATACAAGTGTATTCTTAAAGATTGCTGTAATGACACAGGCTTTGCCAGCTTCATTGTGAGATTTTTGTAGTTGTGAATGGCTTATCTCAGGCTGCCGGATAATGCCACTGTAACAAAAAATCATATGAAAATCACTAACATGTTGTACAAGATCATTAATCCCAGACACCTGTTATCAGAGTGATTAATTATCTGGTCCTGCTGAAATTGGGCTCCACTCTAAGGGTATAATAGCTAAAACTCTGTATGACAGAATTCTATGACTACAGTTATGAGGAAACTGCTTTATGACCCAGTACAAAAAGTGAAACTGTTTGCTCAGAGATCCTAAAAATCTCCTTTCATTCATATACAATTAAAATTGCCAATCTGCTCGGAAGCCATTTGTAAAGGGGAAAATGCCACATATCCCCATTCAATAGCACAAATCCTTGATATAATGGGATGCAACAACGTGCTTCAGTCATTTCCATTTGTGTGTGTGATGGCCTCAGGACTAGTAAGCCTTCTTGCCTGCCTTAACTTAAGCACCATGACTTTCCCCATGTCTAGAGCCATGCTGCTTCTCTGGGGACAAGGCATACTAAAAGAAGACATACATGAAAAGGTCGTATTGAACAACAGTCCCAAAACAAAGCAGTTCTCTCTCCCAGGCGCATTCTAGTCCTCCCTCTATATGGGCTTGCTGATGTTACACAATGCACATTGTGCAATAATTGAGTCCTTACGCAGAGCCAGCAGCAGATGGCTTGGTGGGGTGGCAGCACTCACTGACTGATGTTGCTTACTGGGAAAGAGAAGGGAGAGGCAGTGGAAAACTCGGTGTGGTACAATCTGGTGCTCCTGCTGGTGAATTTCCACTGTGCTGGCCTCCCCACTTGCCTCACCCTTCCCCATAAGGAACAACAACTAAAGCTGTATGGAGGTCAGGGGAACACCACCATGCCACAATGCCATCCACTACCATATAGAGTTTAGCATGTATCTAGGCATGTGGGCAAATCATACAAAATCCCAGCCTTCTCTACATACTCCCCCCTTTTTTTTATTTCAAAGGGCCTCCAAACAGATAGCTGCAGTGGCATAAAACCACCCCTGAGCTGCGCATTCTCTACTAGGTTGCAAGCTCCATCACCCACCCAAATTGATGCCCTCTAGAAAATAAACAAAGGCTGAATGATGGGATAAACAGTGGCTTGCTAAATAACACTTAAAGTGGCATGTTGGAGCTCTATCCCACTTGGTTACATTCACCAGCTGCACTCACACTAGGTGGGTGGAGCTAGGCTGAGAATCTTCAAGATTAGCCAATGTGGTAGCCATCAGATGTTGTTGTGCTCCCATCATCCCTAATCAGCATGGCCAATAGCCAGGTAGTGTGGGAGCTGATGATTTAGTGCATAGGTGCCTGAAACTTGTTCCCACTTAATGAGGGGATAATGGTTGTAAATTTTGAATTACATGCTTCATGTAATGCTGCATATTATTCGCCTCTGCTAAGCTAAAAGACAGACTCATCTGAATGAACAGTGATGTAGAATCTAATCTGTTGATTTACCATTTAAGTATGATGTTCCGGTGTATATTGGCAGTCAATGCAGATTTTGAACTGTATTAACATGGCTCCAGCTAGTTGCTCCACTCAAAAGCTAAACTACTACATCTGGATTAGTTGCAATTTCCAAGTGGTCTGCAAGAGCCGCCCTGTGGACTACAGTTATCCAGTTGGGAGCTTATCAGAGCATGAATTTCTATGGCAAGGCCATCCCTCTATAGGAACAGCCATAACTGGCCAACCAGCTGGGAGCTAAGAAAAAGCCCTCTATGTCACTTGGCTCTCCAGTGACAGAGAAGAATCAGCAAGTACTACAAGGGGAGCACAGCCCCATAGAGAACTGGCCATATGCTTATCTCCCAAGCTCAAGAAGTGCTGAGTCATAGCACCTTGATCTAATTCCACCATGAACTAGCCTTCATCTAGTCCATTACAGTGGCTGAGCACCAGTGCAGAATCTGCGCAGCCACACATGATTCAGATAGCAAGAAGAAATAGGAATTGAATGTCAACAGCGTATGGATGGAACCCAACTCAAGCCCCAACTCCAGCTGTCAAGGCAGCATATTAGTTAGAATGATATTATATGCTTCTTTTTCAATAAAACCTCCTGAATAAGTCATTATTTTGCTTTAAAAAACTAAATTTTTTTTGTTCTTTAATCTGCTTCATAACATCTCTTTATTTGATCCTGGGATGCTCATTTCTAAATAATAAATACGTAAATAACGTAATAAATAATGTAAATAACAACAACAAGAATGATAACTAAACCACAGAGCTTTGCATAACCCTTAAAAATGCATTGCTTCACATAATGCAATTGGGACAGAGCCAACAGGTGGGAAAGTTACAAAATTAATGAATTTATGGCATAGAACCATGTAGCTAGTTTGCTGACTAGGCTGCATCAGGGTGTAAAAGGTCAAATAGTGAACTTAGCAGAGTGTAAATAAAATAAAATGCTGCTAGAATTACCTATCAGAGTTGGGTCTGAAATCAAACTACAGTAGACCTTCTCCTCATGTTTAAAAGTCACTACAGAGCAGTTTTGAGTCTGTGTAGTTGTTGAGAGTTGTTTCTCAGCTGTGGCAATCACATCTATACTTGAAGATAACAGGCCCAGAGGTAATAGGATTGGTTGTTGCAATACCCCCAGTAAATCTGAGAGGACTGGTAAGAATTTGACACCATGTCTTACAAAGAAATGTTGCTTGTGGAGACTGAGAGCAATGTCGACCCAGCATAGGCTCTCTGTAAACCGGAATCTTCTGAGTGTGAAAGATGCCTTATTTGAGATAATAACAGAACCTCTGCTGTTTCCAAGTTTCATTTACTTACATGAACATTTCCAGCATGGAGGTGCTAAATTCTTTGTGAATATAAAATGTTAATTTGGAAGAAATGTTTTTTTATGTACAATGTGTTGGCTTCCTGACGATTGATATAAAAAGGGCATAATTTACAAGTGAATGGAAGAAAATATATTTAGCTTCCCAGCTGATCAATAAACACATTTTCTTCTCCAACACTTGTCAAGCTACACAGGCAATCCAGGGAAACTGGAGGGTTAAGGAAAAGATGGATGTTCTGCATTAAACCTCTAAGTGCTTTGAAATTACCTTTAATTTACAAAGCCCATTTTGATGGAATTCGCAGTCCTGGCAGACTCCGTCATACAAGGTCAGGACTTTTGAATTACTGTACTGGAAACCATCATTAGAAATCTAAAATATACAAAAAATATATCATATCATTTTATGTGATCATGTTCCATACAGATACTGTCTGCACATTCTAAAGCACATGCCCAATACACCCCTGAACTAAATGTCTGCCAAGAAGATAAATTAAACCACTTGCAAGTTACTTTCCTGCAAGCTAACAAATCACTTGATGCTGCAAACTGAAAAGCCATTCATTTATTACCAAAATATCTTTTCACTCGGATAAAATCTGGAGTTTCTGATAACTGCCGTGCTCTGTTTAACCTCTTCCTGTAAATTTCTTACTCAAGTTGACACAATTTTGAACAATAAATCCTGCTTCAGACATTTTGATTGCAATCCATAAAACATTTACTCTAGAGGAATCTCATAGATGTCAACAAGATTTTATTGAGCCTGCTTCAAAGGAAGATGATTCTGTATGGCAGCCTTTGCCCTTGACTCCCCCTAAGATGGATTTCCATAGTCAGTGCAGCTATTCATTCATAAGATGTAATGCCTGAAGTGTTCAATCTAAGGGGAAATGAGCAGAAAATCAGGGCTGATACTGCCCCCACTGCTGCCATATGTATTTTCTGTAGGCACAGAAGCCATGCAGTTTAACTGGTGACAGAATAGTGGAACAAACAAACAAACAAAGTGGGCCCTACATTTTGGCACATCATAACCAGTTTTACTTTTCACATAATATCTGAATGCACATGACTTGCGTGATGTTGGTGGCATCTGGATATAGCTGCTAAGCATTCAGTTGGACAAGATAGTGTAAGAATTTATCTGCCCTCCTGCTCTGTGTTAGAGAAAAATCCTTTATGTTCATTGTTCAAGAATTTGGAAAGCCAGTTCTGGTTTATGGGGTTTTAACATAGATTCTCAGTTTTCTGATTTTTGTAGGAGGTGCTATTCAAGGGGCAGAACTCAGTGGCAGAGGAGATGCCTGCAGAAGTCCTCAGTTGAATCTCCATGTAGGGTTGGAAGATACCCTTGCCTGAAGTCCTGGATAACTGGTTGCTCTGACTTGGTTTAAGATTAAGAGGTCCATTTGTCCTGAGTGTTTATACCCAGTGGTGTAGCGTGGGCAGGGCCACAGGGGTACAAAATTTCAAAAGTGTGCCTTCCCCCTCACACAGAAAATATCCCAATGTTCATGTGGACAGACTGAGGAGTGGATTTGAGCAATGGCTGATTGCCAGGGTGCCCCTGCATGGGCTTTAAAAATACAGTGGTACCTCAGGTTAAGAACTTAATTTGTTCCGGAGGTCTGCTCTTAACCTGAAACTGTTCTTAACCTGAAGCACCACTTTAGCTAATGGGGCCTCCTGCTGCTGCCGCCGCACCACCGGAGTACGATTTCTGTTCTCATCCTGAAGCAAAGTTCTTAACCCGAGGTACTATTTCTGGGTTAGCGGAGTCTGTAATCTGAAGCGTATGTAACCCGAGGTTCCACTGTATACTCACTCCCTCATCCTGCTCTCCACCATTCTTGACACTCATGGGTGCCGCAGTTGCCTCTTGTGTGGGCCGCCGAGCTATTGCTCCTTTGTTCCAACCTATTGGCAGGCAGTGCCAAGGATCTTCACCCCATGCCACTGCCCCCTTGCCAGCTGCTGCTGCTGGCGGTGGTGACAACATGTAATAGGAGGAGAAGTAAGTTATCGGTCATAGACCAATCATCAGAGAGAGTCGGGGGAAGGGAGCGGTGCCAAGGGAGAATGAGAGTCCCACCACCACCTCAGTATCTCTGCATAGGGAAGCTGCTGGTCTCTGAGGTGCTGCAGGGGTGAGTGCAGGGGCTGGTGGGGCAAATGTCTCAAATGTGCTCATTAAAGATACAGGTACGGTAAAGGTGAAGGACCTCTGGACAGTTAAGACCAGTAAAAGGCAACTATGGGTTGTGGTGCTCATCTCGCTTTTCAGGCTGAGGGAGCCGGCATTTGTCCACAGATAGCTTTCCGGGTCATGTGGCCAGTATGACTAACTCCCTTCTGGCATAACGGGGCACCATGACGGAAGCCAGAGCGTGCATGGAAACACTGTTTACCTTCCCACTGCAGCGGTACCTATTTATCTAATTGCACTGGTATGGTTTCAAACTGCTAGGTTGGCAGAAGCTGGGGGAGAGCAACAGGAGTTCACCCCATCGCATAGATTCGAACTGCTGGCCTTCCAATCAGCAAAGCCCAAGAGGTTCAGTGGTTTCAACCACAGCACCACCCGCGTCCCCCATGGTAGAGTATTTCATTGACTTTATCAATATTGGACTGGTGGAAAGGACTTAGGAAGTGCTAATGGACCCCTGGTTAGCAGGTGCAATACTTGCCTAGCCCTGGGTGCTGGCAACCCATGTTACACCACTTTTGCTACCCCTTCAGAAACATCAGAGCAGATGGAAGCACTGAATCTGCCTACTTAGCCTGGGTACGGGAAGACACGAAAGAAAGAGATATCAGCACCACCACCAAAATTGAAGAGGTTGCCACTGCTTCCTACATCCCCACAAATGAAAGGAGGGGAGGAAAGACTACCACCATATGATCCTCTTTCAACTCAGTGTTGCTGAATGTTTTGTTGCCATCATTATTATTATGATGAGTCTGAGCAAAATTTACTTGAATAAGTGTGTGCGTGTTTTTTTGTATCTCATAACTGTAATCATGGCACATAGCTTAGTTAGGTACTAAATATTTGTAAAAATGCAATTCTTCACAGTATCTTTTCAAGAGAGAAAGAGATGAGGAGAAACCCATAACAGTTTGGCCACACCCCGGTGCCTCCACTGGCCATGCACCCATCACCTCCTTGACACCCTAGTAGGTCTAGTGGGTAACAACATCCATGGCATTGAACAGATGGAAGGCATCATTGTGAGGCACAGAAAAGATTGAGAAAAAAAAGGAGAGGCAAAAATCACAAACAACAGAAAGAAAACTCATGTAAAGCTAAACACACACAACTGATATTTCCTGGTGAACAGAGAATAGGACATGCCACAAAAAATCAGCATTAAGTGAACTGTTCCAGAAACATTATATTATTTTAAACTGATAAATTACTACCTGTTCCACTCAGGTGTGAACAGGTGGGACCGAGGTATGTGAGGATATAGCAGTGCCTAGCATTTGCAATTCAAAGGAAGGAAATAAGTTTACAATCTATTCAGAGAATTCGAAACTGAATTAGCATAACTTAACATAATTGAAAGAATGAACTCAATTCTCTCAGTATTTGATTTAGAAGAGGGGCTCCCTAGCCACATTCTTCATAGACAAGCCATCTTAATAAGGCGGGAAAACCATTTCAAGGGTCTCTAGCTAGGGTTTAATCTGCAAAGTGTGTGGTCTGCAGCTCAAATCTGAAATGGAAAGCCATGCTTCTATTTGGGACTGGATGTAGCTATTTGATGGGGTGGGTCAATGTACTCTGCACTCAATCAGACCCAGTCTTCGCATGAGCTAGCATATATAGAAATAAAGGTCCCAGATAATGTTAGTGTAGGAGATGATACGACTGATACAAACTCCTGGTGCTGAAAATGGATTCTAGGCCTAAGCGAATCAGGCTCTGAGGCGGAAAGAAGGATTAGTTTAGCATCCTGCCATTTTGCAAGCAAAAGCACTACCTCATCTGTATAAACTGATCACTCTTAATGCAATTTTAACCTTAATTTCTTTCCTTTACTAAAGCCCTCAAGATGTTCATTTTCTCAGCACAGCACTAATGATCAAACAGATGAACATTAATAATGATTAGGACTTTAGCAGCCTCTAATAAGATATTCAAATAAAGCCCATTCATTTGTTTGCTGTGCTTTGGTTAAAACAAAAATAAACATTGATCTCCTCTTCAAAAGTTAATAAGCTACTGCAAAAAAATAAAAAAAAATGTACATAAATCATCCCAACTATTCTGTTGTGCTTTGGAGGAGCACGGGCAGATCAAAGTCTCCTATAAAGCAGCTAGGGTAGAGTATTAGGCATCTTCTTGGCTGCCTGTCTAGAAAATTGTGAAACAAATATGTTGAGGTCTACCAGTGATGAACTTTGGTAATTTCTGACTCCATAGGTCTATTTTGGGTGTGGGTGTGTGATGTCTTTAGAGTGCAATATGTCTTACTTCACTTCATATTACTTTACTTTGCCCCACATGTGCCCACTCAACCACTTCAATAGGTGGAACTGGCACTACTGCGGGTGCCAGATAATACCTGTTACGCATTTGTAAGAACTCAATCGTTTAGTGTGGCAGCAGATGCACTTTGGAACTCCTTGCCTATTGAGATCAAGCAGGCACCTTGACTGCACGGCACCTGCTGAAAACATTCAAACCCATGTGCTTAGAAAGTTGAGGTAACTTTAATATGTTTTGGTATTTCAATGTTGTAAAGTATGATTGTGGTTTTTTCCCTTGATTTTATTGTTTTATCATTTGGTTAGACTGCTTTATGGTGAATCGAGTGGTGCATAAATTTTATGAAACAAGTAAATAAATAAGCCAGCACTTCTACATTTGGGGGCCTGAAAATCCTGTGCTTGTGGCACCATTGTCCTATCTGGCTGTTCGCAATAGCAGTTCACAGTTAGCATCACAACAACCCTTTTAGTTAGGTTTTCTGTCTTAATTTCCGATCGGTGACATGTTTGCTCCTTTATTAGACTTTGTGTTTTTCTGTTTGAATGACATGCTCTCCACAACTGTGGTTAATGCTTAGTGTGTTGTGCTTAATAACATCACTGAAGACCACTGCGCCCCCCATGACACCAGAGGCTACCCTTAGATCTCAGGGTCTGGAGTGCTCTTGACCTGGGTAGGTTCCAACCACTGAATCAGCAAGCTGAAGTGCATTCTGGGTGTGCCACATGCACACATGTCAATTCTGTGGGAAAGGATGGTAAGTTTGACTTACATTCATGTGGCTGGGCCACACAAATATTACCACACCCATGCAGAAGCATCTCACAGAAAAGCCACTTGCGCTCAGCTACAGTAAAACTGAAGATCCCCAAGTATTCAGCATCGTTCTCTGCCATCTCTTTGAGTAGGACTGCCCTGTACAACAATTTCAAAATGGAGGGTGTGAGCCAGAAAGGCCCCCAACAGGCAGCAGTATGAAGCTGAAGTCATTCTGCACTTGTGACCTAATCAAGAATTTCAGCCGTGTCTCTTGAAATGAAATGCAGATGATTAAGAATTGATTCACCCACTATATCAGCTCAGGGTGATTACTAGGAACAGTGATTGTAATTTGCACCTTAAGACTACTTATTAAAATGCCCACAATGCCTGTAATTTCTGCTATTTCTTTGTTTTCTTATTTATTATGAGGCAATACTAAAGATCTCTTGCTCTCGTGTGCACTCCTATTCACAGTGATTAGCAGGAAGAAATCCGTAATCTCCCATTTTATCATCACGCTGCTTGAGAAATGTCTTTTGAAATTGTTTTGCTAGTAGCACAAGAAATTCCTACTTTCACTTGCCATCTTGCATAAGGCTCAGCATCCATCATGAAACGAACAGCTCCTGCTCCTGTATTGTTCAGAGGTGGGATCTGACAGTCCACCATTGTCAGATTCAGAAACGTTGCTTTGGTGTTTTCATGTTCTCTGGATATCCATTCACCATTGTGATACTGCAGGAAACAGAGCAGGAAGATGTGTGTGACTTATTGCAGGTCTACATGTCCTTACTGTAGATTTCAAGTGATCTACATGGATATATAAAAATTTCTTTATGGAAGATTTTGATCAGATGTGCTGCTGTGTTAAGTGGATTAGCACAGCAGACACAATAGAACTCCCGAGGAAAACAAAGGAATTCCATATGTTCAAATCTGATTGGTATAAGTACAATGGGATGGGGTGTATAGTCCAACAGATACTATAATGCTTCAGAGATTATGCCAATTTTGCAGACTTTATTGCCCGAGACCATATAACACCGGTCCTGAAAGACCTACAACTGGCTCCCAGTACTGTACATTTCTAAGCACAATTCAAAGTGTTGGTGCTGACCTTTAAAGCCCTAAATGGCCTCAGCCCAGTATACCTGAAGGAGAGTCTCCACCCCCCTCTTTCAGCCTGAATACTGAGGTCCAGTGCCAAGGGCCTTCTGGCAGTTCCCTCACTGCGAGGTCACTACCCGGCAGAGGGCCTTCTCGGTAGTGGCACCCACCCTGTGGAATGCCCTCCCATCGGATGTCAAGGAAATAAAAAACTATCTGACTTTTAGAAGACATCTGAAGGCAGCCCTGTTTAGTGAGGTTTTTAATTTGTGAAGTTTTATACTGTTTTTAATGTTCTGTTGAAAGTCGCCCAGAGTGGCTGGGGAAACCCAGCCAGATGGGCAGGGTAGAATTATTATTATTATTAAGGCTGATCAAGAGAAACTCTCCACCTGCCCTTTTCAGAAGCACTTCCTGTCCAATGTTCTTCATGGTACAGAGGCTTCATTAATGAACCATCCTGAATGATGAGCTTGGATGAGTTTCCTTTTGGTGAATATCTCAGGCTTCCATTTAGAACGTCCAACCTGGATGTCCATTTTGTGATATCTCCTCTCAAAAGCACCACCACATGAAACCTCTCTTTAACATATAGTCTACGTAGTTACACAGGAAGCTGCCTTATACAAAGTCAAACCATAGCTAGCTCAGTATTGTTGTCACAAACTGACAGCAGCTCTTCAAGGTTTCAGACAGGAAACACATTCCCAGCCCTATCTGGAGATTGAACCTGGAAGTTTATGCTTACAAAGCAGATATTCTACCCCTGAGCCGAAGTCCTTCCCCTCTCTAGGTAGCTGGAGGGAAGGAAGGAAGCTATACTAACCCTATGCTTACTCTGTTAAATAATAATCATAATTTGGAGTCAAATCTGACTCTAATATTTGCTGGTGTTGTAATGTAATTATGCCAAAAACAAACACCAGTGGCAGACCTTGGTGTCTCAATCTTCAGTGGCCTCCTGGTGATGCCGAAATCTGCCCGCCCATCTCTCACATTCCATTGGGAGTCATAGCTGTGGCGCCCCAGAAGCTCCACGCCTGGTGTGACCGAACCGATCATGCTCCCCTGGATCTGCCTTTGCAAACACCCTGCTGGTTGCACTATTCTGTCAGTGACTTTAGAAACAGTGCCCTTCAGAATTTAATAGCAAAAGCTTCAAAACCTAAACATGCAATGTCAAGTCTTTGGGGGGAAATGCATTTTAAGTGGGGAGGGGGGAACAACTGTAATATTTGAAGTCTTGGTTTTATGTTTTCAAGCTTTTCCCCCTACTTTGGTGAGAGCTGGAAAATTGCTTTTTTTAATATAAAACTGAAGCAGAGCAACTTGAGGTCCTCATGGTATTGGGAACTGGATTTTAAAATGGATGGATCAGACCTTCGCACCTCAGTTATCTTGGCTGATGGCAGTATTATTATTATTATTATTATTATTATTATTATTATTATTATTCCCCACCCATCTGGCAAGGTTTCCCCAGCCACTCTGGGTGGCTCCCAACAGAATATTAAAAACACAATAAAACATGAAACATTAAAAACTTCCCCATGTCAAAACTGGAAATGTTATTTCAATGCCTGAATCCTATCTTCTGTGGCAAGTGCCATTTCCACATTCCCATAGCTGGAACAACCTCATGTAACAACATCTGAAGGAATGTAATTTGTGGGACAAACTGATTGTGTCATCCTATCAGTAGTATTCCTGACTGATGCTGGATTTGGTAGTATTTGTGTGATTCTGTATTTCAAATGCATGGGATCAAGACATGCCCTTCATGAAACTTATGGCTCACGACACAGTCTATTTGTACATAAATATTCTATGTGGATCTCTAGGATTGTAGGATACATCCTGTCACATAGAAGTCTACTTTCTACAAACAATTTCAGAAAGTTCTGTATCTTTCTGCTTCGATGGGAAAGACTTTTTGTAATGAATCCAATTTTGAAACACTCTGATGGAGAACCCCTCTCATCCCAATAATTCTTAACCATACATTCTTTTATATACAGCCTTATAAAGCTATCATATTACATGATTAAGATGTAGAATAATAATCTTAATAGTCCACCATTCAGCTGTAGACTACAGCTGTGTATCCGAAAGCTTGGATAGTTAGCTATGATACTTAAAATTCAAATGCATTTAGAAATACAACCAAGCGTATAGATTCCAGATGCACCAAATTGAGAAATAATAATACTGTGATTTCAAGCATCAGTGAACTAGGGTAAAAATGGGATAAAAGCTCGCAGAGAAATGGAAGAGATTGCATGGTTTTGATTCACTTATGGACCAATCTTGAGGTGATGTGACACCAATTGTATAAAGTGTACATGCCAGAAAGAAAACTTATCACTTCCAGTCCCAATAATAACAGGCAATATACACATATAAATAGACTAAGAGAATCAAACCACTAGATGCAGGCCAGTAAACAAGAAATAGGACCAGCTGAGATTCATGTTATCTCTCCAGCTTCACAGTATTAAAGCCATGCCGGCTTAGACTCAGGCTGCTTCAGACATGGGGTTTATTGCATTCGTTTTAGTGATGATATTTGTAGTACTTCTGTCCTGATGTCTAATATTCCTTTCACACTGCAGTATAACATAGAACTGTGGCTTTTTGTGGGGAAAACTCAGTGATAAGCTTGTGCATGCATATGTGGGTTTATTTTCAGAAATGAACTATGGACATGCCACTATCTCCCAATGCGATGTTTTTTTGCCACTGAATACTATGGCAAACATTGCTGTCTGTGCTCAATAAATTATAGACCTAGAGAATACGTAAAGGTTCCTGACGAAGAGAGCCCCTTTCACCTATCTGTGCATCCATATTGCTTACAGTCAACCGGGTGACCTCACAATGAAGATCAGAAGAATCTCTGAAGTTGTGTCCAAACACGTGGATTCTGCTACAGTCGGATGTCCGGACGTCACAGAAACCCCCATTTATTAGATCTGTGATCTCCACTGGATGCTCTATAAGGGAAACAAACATGTAGCAGTGGGACTATGGTACATGATCATGCACATAATTTTTTATATTGTTTTTATTACTTCTCTTTAGCTTTATCTGCAGGCACATGTCCTTTGGAATCCCACTCTGAGCATTCATATGTCACCAAGCTGATGTTCTAAATACAGGAACTTTTGAGTAAAGGCGGGGAGCATTAAGGAATGAGGAAGCCTATATCGGAATGGCTGGGCGGGCTTTACTTGCTATAGATATATATAGTGGTACCTCAGGTTAAGAACTTAATTCGTCCTGGCAGTCCGTTTTTAACCTGAAACTGTTCTTAACCTGAGGTACCACTTTAGCTAATGGGGCCTCCTGCTGCCACCACCACGCAATTTCTGTTCTCATCCTGAAGTAAAGTTCTTAACCTGAGGTACTACTTCCAGGTTAGTGGAATCTGTAACCTGAAGCATTTGTAACCCAAAGCATTTGTAACCCGAGGTACCACTGTATATGTGTGTGTACACACACACACACAGAGAGAGAGAGAGAAAGAGAGAGAGAGAGAGAGAGAGAGAGAGAGAGAGCAACTGCAACCACTTATCTGTCACCCTGTCACAAAATTGCTCCACGCTGCAGTTACTGCTTTTAAACTCCATACACTCATCCTAGATAGCTGACGCTGAAGGCTGATCAGGGATTTCTGAAAATACCCTTAATCCAACATAATATTTGGTAATCTCATATATGTGGCACTTGAAGTGATCCCATAAGTGTGTATGTGTGGGGAAAATATGTCAACGAAAGGTGTTCCTCTGAGGGCTTGGATCTGAGCAGGATCAAAGATTCCTGTTGAATGTTGCTCAAGGGGATGTTCATCGGAAGCTATTTGATAAGCCATCCATTGATTGTCATTTCGACGGTTCAAGAATTACTACAGATCATCCTTATAATAGCAAAAGCCATAGGATATGCGACAATTCCCCCAAGCAATATTATTCCATTCCGTGTGCGGACTACATTAGCCATACTGGTTCTGCAGTTTCAACATTCTGCAGTAGGGACAGAGGTAGCATTTTAAAGCAGACCAGCCTAATTCACCAATCCAGGAGTTATATGCAAATAGGAATGCAGGTGCTATCAGCAGGATTTTGTAATGCAGTTTCAGTTCAAAGAATGTGCATAAGATTGCACATTTTTACTGAAAAAATGTGAAGAAATATGCATATTTCAGGGGAGAATGCATTAAAAAGCACACAAAATGTTATTTTAGAGGAAGAATGTGAATAAAATTATAAGGAGAGAGGTAAGAGGGGGCAGAACTTCTACCTGCACATTCCTCCTTACTGACCTTGAAGCCCATGGGTATTTTCAAAACCAAGAACAAGAGAGAAACACCAGCTGTGGGTTACTGCTACCTTCCTGCTCTTTTGCTCTGTTGCTATTATGCAAAGTGAGTGGGGGTTCTTTCTGTGGATGCAGGTAAGAGTCTGGGTGGGTTGGAGAGTGGATGCGAAAGGTTTTACTTTGTTCAGAAGCTGCAGCGTGAGAGTCTGTTGGTGCAGAGTGGACCCCTCTTTGTATGAGACACAGTAGGAGTGAGTGGGCTCACAGGTGAGAGATGGAATGGGGTTGTCATTGAGACCATTTAGTTCAGAGTGTTGAATGTTCTTTTGTCTTTACCCAGGAATTTGGTTTAAACTGGGAATTCTAATGTTTGCCTTGTGATGCACCTGTTAATTTCTTTTTATGTAATGGGTCTTTTTACAATTTTGTAATTTTTATATATTGTAATTTTTCTATATATGTTTTATTGTTTTGATTTACTGCTCCCCAGTCTGGGTTTGAAAATATTCAATGAAGAGTGGAATATATGTGTTGTGCTTTAAACAAAGAAACAAAGAACATATAGAAACCAGGTACAATTTAAATGTGATTTTTTTTGTTCGTTTTTTTTTTAATCCTGTTGTATATATTTTCACTCCTGCCAACCTAGCAGTTCGAAAACACGTCAAAGTCAAGTAGATAAATAGGTACCGCTCTGGCGGGAAGGTAAACGGCATTTCCGTGCGCTGTTCTGGTTCACCAGAAGCGGCTTAGTCATGCTGGCCACATGACCCGGAAGCTGTACACTGGCTCCCTCGGCCAATAAAGTGAGATGAGTGCCGCAACCCCAGAGTCAGCCACGACTGGACCTAATGGTCAGGGGTCCCTTTACCTTTACTATATATTTTCACAGGATTGCAACCAGCACAGATCTTGGAGTATGCTTTAAATAAAAATAAAAAGATTTTTTCTTTTTTAAAATCAACATTGTGACTATTACAGAACTAGTATAACAATTATTCAAGTTATTCCTATAGGGAGTTTCCCTTCAACTTTAACACCTTGACTATAAACATATCACACATTAATTTCTAAATTCAAACTGTTATCAAAATCAAATGATACATGGATGTGATTGTTTACAGTCTTTATCACTTACTGGTGGTTGATTTATTATATATGATTTAGCTGGATATCAAGGCTTTTATGCAATATAGTCCAATACTCAGAAGTAAGCCCTTGCCGACTGCACTGGGGCTGCCCTCCAGGTAAGTGTGTGTAGGATTGCAGCTTTAATGTTGTGAATTTAGTAGGAGCCCTTTCATAACCTGTCACCCTAACAAAATGCATTGCTCCTCTACCTTCTGTAACTGTTGTGATTTTGATGGGAAGCTGCTTGAGCCTTCCAGGTTTTGGCAAAGGTCATTCTAGCAGCTACTAATAAATTCAAAATGAAGTCTTGCAGGACTGCACACACACACAAAAATGCTATTAGTTCCATACTGCAAAATAAAATAAGTGATATTGCATATCTGCTTTGTGGTATTTGTGAAGGCAGGATTTTCTCATTTGTTCTTTCTCATCGGGATGTATGGGATGTTAGAGGAGGGGTAGTACCTCTGGTGGGGGACTTGTTGTCCTCCTTCGGGGTAGTTTGTCTACCTTTGGTCCCCACCCTGCACTCAACTCTCACCTGTGGCTCCTAGAAGCTGTCAGCATGTGACAGAGGCCACATCCCGGGAAATGGCTTAGACTGACCAGCTGAACCAGGTGAGGGTAGCTGATGGGTCTCAAACCCTCTGTGAGTTACAGACTTTCCCTGCATGCAAGGACAGACTTCAGCAGATTGAGTGGACGAAAGATCTACATTGTTGAATGTGCTAATTTATTAGTATGTTGAGGACTACAATCTAAATCATTGATATATTCCAAGCACGTATGTATACCTTCCTTCCCTTGTAAAAACAAACAAACAAACAGATGAATGATTGTATCTTTGAACATCTCTAAATGTCTACTCAGAAGTAAATCCGATGGAGTTCAGTGGGGCTTACTGCCAGCTTGTGGTGGAGAAGAAATTAGGCTTGGAGCAGATTTAAACTGAATGTGCACTTTCCAAAAGAATATTCAAACAGAAACATAGCAATCCTCAGTAATCCGCACTTGTCAGAATTTTGCAATGCATTTTTTCAACCGAACAATGTTTCCAAAAAAATGCATGTATTAGGGAAAAGTTTTCATAAAAAAAGAAGATACTGGTGAAAATTAACATACAAACATTAGTTATATTAGGGAAATCTGCTTGCAAAGGTAGTACTAAATCAAAACATCATATGAAAATTAGGAGAAATCCACCCAAAAAATGCCGATGAATTTCCATGAGGATTTTTTGAAGAATGCATATTGCTGCAAAATGTGAAGAACAAAGAGTTGAAAAATGAGAAACAGAATACCAACATTGGCAGATCCGTATTCCCTGGTAGGTTGGTCTAGGATTGATGCCTTAAACATTTAATAGTACCCCTTTTGCAAGTACTAGCTGCTTCCTAGATGTCCTCTCATTCCCTCTTGTAAGCCCACCTGACTGGCTAGTCATCTTAATGAAAGAGTAAGAATTCCCCACATGGGATAAATAGATCCAAGAAGCAACATGAATGTGCTCTACCACTGCAAAGCACTTCTTTTGTTTCCCTTGTTTTCTGCTGTTGTTTTTTAAGAGCCATCAGTAGTATTAACAGCATCATTAAACAACAATATTGTATTTACAAAGAGCCAGTTTCCTGCTTATCAGCATTCATCAGCTAGTTCAGTAGTCGTGTAATACACAACACTATTAGGAAGGCAGGATGAGCAGTTTTGATAAATGATGGGTAGCGCATAAAAATAAAGGCTTCATTATGTTTTTCATGAGGTTTTAATAGCACTGCCTACTATTCCCTCTAGAATTTCCAAGTTTTTGGAATTTACAAATCACAGTCAGCCACAGCTTGTAGTGTTAGGTCCCACTGAGTTATTTCTGCAAAGCATGATGAACTACTATTGGCTGGTTGCAAACATCCCCTTCCTAGACAATGTGTTTGAGTGGGTGGTAGTTGTTACCCTGCTGATCCTGTTGAACCATTCAGCAGTTTTTAGTACCTAAATAGGTTGTCTGGGTTAGGCTTTGGAGGTATTGCATTACAGCGGTACCTCGGGTTACATATGCTTCAGGTTACATACGCTTCAGATTACAGACTCCGCTAACCCAGAAATAGTACCTCGGGTTAAGAACTTTGCTTCAGGGTGAGAACAGAAATCGTGCACCGGTGGCACGGCCGCAGCAGGAGGACCCATTAGCTAAAGTGGTGATTCAGGTTAAGAACAGTTTCAGATTAAGGACGGACCTCCGGAACGAATTAAGTACTTAACCCGAGGTACCACTGTACATTGGTTCTGCTCTCACCTGGGTAGTCAATTCCAGAAGCTGGTGCTTAAAAAGGCACAATTTTTAAAATCTCATGTTGGCTTCCAATTCATTACCTGGCTAAACTCATAAGGTTGGGCATACCTTTAAAGCCCTAAATGAGTTGTGACTATTTTGCCTGAAAGTTGCCTTCTGCCACATGTACCTGCACCTAATGGAATGAGAAAGATGGTGATCAGGGAAAGGGTCGCTTCAGAGACCCTTAAATAATGCCCTCCCTGGAAAAGATTATCT